TGGGGGGTTTAAAAAAAAAAAAAAAAATTGCAAAGGCGTTGGCTTCCTGCATCCAGATTTAAAAAAAAAAAAAAAAGCAAAATCCAAAAGCCGTCAACCTGGCTTATTTTCTCCATCTCACTGTGTCCATTAGAGTTGCTTTCTTCTTAAATTCTTAAAATCTTCTTTTTTGTCTTTTATTTGCTTTATGAGTTTCATCCCAAGTTCAAATGCAGCAGTTCAGAAGACAGTGCCCTGGATCTTCTTCCCCCCCAGCGCTACCTACGGCGACCGGGGAGAGCTCCCGCGGGGAGAGGGAGGGAGGCAGCACGTTACTTCCGATGCTTCGCTTCTTTCTCTGACGCTTTGGAGTCTCCGGCCGCGTGCCCGTTCCCTGTGCTGTTCATGAACATTTTATCCAGCCCCTTGAGGGACTCCACCAGGTAGTTCTGGAAGGCGGTGAGCGCTGCGCAGATGGCCGGGCCCCCGAAGCCGTGGGTTATCAAGCTGAAGTGAGTCAAGCAGCTCTGGACCCCGGGCTCCAGGATGAGGGAGGGGCGGCTGTTCCCCAGCGGCGAGCGGTCCTGGGCTATCAAGTCTGCAAACTCTTTACAGATTTGCCTGGAAGAAAGAGGTCTGTGTTAGCACAGATGCTGTTGGGAAGCCGCAGGGACGTGGGGGTTCTTTCCCTGCTCCATTCCCTCCCTCCGGGAGTTTTTGGCTCCAGCCTGGGGAGAGCCCCTGGGTCGGAGTTGGAGCTGCTGCTGAAATGCTCCCTGGGGTTAGGTTAACCGGTTAACCTCTCCCACCTAGCAGCCAGCCCTTCAGCCCCTGCTAACCGTTCACCTCGCTGCGCAGCTTTCCGCATGCGAGACCGTCTCTTCCCCGCAGCAGAGCGAGCTTTCGGGGCGAGCGCTGCCCGGCCAGGCTGTGGGTACCGAGCGCGGCGGTGGCTCGTTGCCGTCCGTACTCACTTGGTAGCCAGCAGCATGGGAGTGGGGTGGGGTGGGAGTGCTGCCGGCACAGGTACTCCGCCGCCGCCTTGGCTGGGAACTCCGTCTCGCACACGTACCCGAAGTCCCGAGCCAGGTGAACAGCTTCGCCTACGAGCGGGAGAGATGAACGAGCCGAGTCAGCGTCCCCGTGCAAGGGGAGCACTCGCTGTCACCTCTCACTGATGGGGCTGATTCCTGCCGCATCTGGAGCACTTTCCGGTCTCAGCTGCCACCCAAGAGCCCTCTGGGTGACAGAGGTGCTTCTCACTCGGGTGCTTCCCCAGCTGCTTCTTTCTCTCTCTACTTCTCCCAAAATTTCTTACTTGGCCTCTCCACATTGAGCAGAGTTTTAAACAGGGGCTGGAGGGTGAGACTGCGACCTTAGCCCCGTGGCCGCGAGACAACACGGGGGGGTGAGAAACGAGCAGAAGGAAGGGATTTGCGTCCCCCCGCAGCGAGCAGGGCCCTCCGGCTGGAGGCGCGGGCAGCGCATCCATCACCCCGCGGAAATGCCCACCCACTGATGGAATTGATCCATCTCCGGGCGTCCCCGTGGAAATAATCGGAGCTGATGGCAATCGATCATGCCCAACACCCGAAAGCCCGGCTGGGCAGGCAGAGCTAATTTGACTCGCCCCCCTGCTGCTCGGTCGTATTAGGCCATCCATCCTGACAGCATTAACCTAGATCCCGTCGCAGTCTGCCCTGCTCCCGGAGCTCTGTGTGTGACGGGGGAAGTGTCTGTGCTTCCCGTGCAGCGGGAACACGTCCCATTTCATCTCCTCCTCCAGAGAAGGAGCAGATGAGGTAAACCCAGAGAATCAGAACTGCGGTCGTCTGTATGCGAAAAAACAATCCGAGGGTAACAGCTGCTGAAAACCAATTAAGGTGGCAATAACCAAGGGCGGTGTGACCTGGCGGTGAGAGCCCAGGCTGGAGCCAGGCCTTGCTTCCAGCCTGGGGAGGGGGGGCTGGGGGGGAGCG